GACATTGTCCCGGCCCGGAATGTACATCGCTGAAATATTCAGAAGGTTGGATTGTACCCAAGTCATGATTGGTTCCTCTTCCCTTAATAATGACCGACTGCGTGTGGCCCCTTGTTTTTTTAAGGAATCCCGCTGCGGTGGTATTGTCCATCCGTAGCATGACCGACTTCCCTTAAAGAAGACTTTGAAAGGCTAAAAGTGTTTCAAATGCCGCTCTCAGTTCCAAGATGCTAGCGACAATTTTCCCCGAAGGTAAGGACCAGTGTCCCTCTACTGACTTGTCTAAGTCGTGGCAGTGCCGTGGATAGTGCTGCAAGAAACGTTTGTTCCATGAAGAAGACCTTCGCCTAGATGCATTACTGTCTTCTCGTCTATTCCTAGCTTCCTGGTCCCTGCCTCTTGTTCCGATAGGCTGAGACCATGCATGCACAGATGCGGCCCAAGCCACCACTTTCTGTTTCTCGGCGGAAGTGACACAACCAGCCATATAGCGCGTGTGAGTGGAACACGCACAATGCGCTCCACACTCCGCTCGGATCCAGACAGCCACACACACCGACAGCCTCCCCCAATGCTGGGCATTGCACCCCCCCAGTGTACCAATGCCCCGAAGACATGCAGCGGGGCTTTCCCACTCTAGACAATTTAGGTGAGATACCAGGGGGAACTTCATCAAATCGGTGTATCGCCAGATGTTTATCATAACTAGGTAGGGGAGTCCGCAGAAAACCTAAATCCTATCAGGAGGAAAAAAGAGGAACAATGGGGCGTATGAGATCTCTAGATTTATGAGCTAATGGTTCTATCAGATTGGAGAAGATGGGGATGCTGACATGGAGCCGTCAGAAAAGAGTAACTCCAAGCAAGAAATTCAGTGACCTGCTAAAAGCTGTGGATGAAACCAGCAACTGTACTAAAACTGTGCTACAAAATCAGTAGTAATGTAATTATTTGACCCTGTGCTGTGTAGCACTTTCTAGGCAGATTTTGAATCTGATTGGTGGTTGTGATAAGCTTCTTAGTAGTACAGCATGTGTTCTACAGCAGGCTTTCTGTACGTGAGAGGCAGCAAGGATGATGTTCTAGGTTCACCAGATTGCAGATGAAAGGTACTGAGGTGAGCTGGGGCATTACAGCAATGTCTAGATGAAAAACTAAAGTACTCAGCAGACAGGCTGTGCTGCCTGTATACATATCCAGGTGAAATGTTCAGATTCTACATTTCAGAATTTAAAACAGAACTGATAAATGCCAAACGATTTATAATTTTACGGACACACCTGCCTAACACTTTTTGATGTGTTATATTTGTAGATGATTTTCTTCTTTAAGGGGAACTTAATATATTATGAATTTTGGAACTATGACTGCTGGCTTGTTTGTAATTGTGCATGTGTCAGTACTGTCATCTTTATCCTTGCATCTATATTTAGTCACTGACTTGGAACATGAAGGTGTTCTGACCCTTCTCAGTCTGCTTGCTTGTGGTCAGTGACTTAACTAAATAGTCAAGCAACAATAATACAGTCCGCATCAGCAATGGCAGAACCCATATTTCTGTCTAGACAGGTTACCTTTAAATAATTATTGGTAGCTCAGCTGGTGTTTTGTAGTTCTGATCCTTATCTTGGCTTACCATATAAAATATGATTATGTGGAAAAATGTCATTTCTGAGGCATCACTTTCATTTTTTCTGGATGTTATTATGTTGTGTGTTGTGTCAGGTGTGACAATTTGTAAGTCTCAAGCAGCACGGATAGAGAATATATGTCTGTCTATAGATTCTCTAACAAGCTTATGTTTACTACTGAAAGCCTGTTAAGTCATGCACAGATGAACAGATGGTTGATTGGCCCAGAACTGCCAAGAAATGTTATGGGTTTTTTTTATTTATGTGTGTAATTTATGCACACATTTGTTAAACTTGGACTCGGTAAATGCCACAAATGTTATTATTACAGATAATTATGGTAATCCAGAAAATGTGATCCATTTCTTGACCTGGCATAACCAGCGTTTCTTCACAATGCTGCACATTTAATTAATTAACAGGAAGATATCACCATTTATAGATGCTTTCTCAGTGACTGATTATCAGAATGCTTTAGCACCTTTGGAATATGCAAAGAACCCTACTACATCTCCATTAGGGTGCAGCTTCATGGGTCAACATTCTAGGTCTCAACTATGGGCTAAGTTAATATGAACTAGTAAACGTGTGCCTGTTTGCAGGACAGCATGGAATTGTGTAGTCCTAGTGGTACCCAGAGCCATAGCTAGCTCCTTTTACGCCTAAGGAAAAAACGGAAAATTGTGCCCCACAACAGACGTGTGCGATATGTAACGTCATGCGCTCCGCCTCCAGAATGCGCTGGTGGCCAAATCCAAAATAGCATAAAAATGTGTTTTGTTTGACAAAACGAATGAAAACATTTTTGTTTACGTT